GGAGCAGGCGGGGGGCGGGACGCTCCCAGCTCAGCCCGGTCTGGAGTCTGGGGTCCCAGGGCCCACCCACCCGGAGCCCTCTGCGCCTGGCGACTCCGCCGCCCAGCCAGGCCCAGCGTCTCCGCCCCCAGTGGGTCCTCCTGGCCGCGGCTCTCGCCTCTTACCACAGGGTTCCCTCTCCTCCGTCTCTTCTGCTTGCGACCTTTTTGATCCATGTCCTTTGGGGTCCGCCCCCTTGGTAGGCTTTCTCCTGTCCCTCGTCTGGGTCTCCCCAGCTGTCTTCCTGGCAGCAGCTGTCCAGGGGGCTTCCCGCGTCACCTGGCCCTGTCAGCCCTCCGCCTGTGAGCCAGGTCACGTCTCCCCAGGGCACTCTGGAAACCCTGTCGTGTGGGAGCACTCCTGTCCCCTGTCCACCCGGGACCTCCCAGTGTGACTGGTCCCTTTGTGGTCCCCTGCCTGGCCCCAGCCCCACGGCCACATGCAGTGTCAGTCGGCAGCTGCTTGACAGGTTGCGTCTCTAGAAACTGCATCAGCTACGGAGGGGCCTCGCCTTGGACAGAGCACTGTGGGACCCTCGCCCTGCGGCCTCTTGCCTCCTTGAGCATGCGCCCGCCCTCCAGCTCCCGCGGAGCCCTTGCCCTGGGGCTCTCTCCCGGAGCACCCCCTGGAGCCCTTGGGGGGCAGTTGAGCAGTTTCTGGGTTTGCTGCGGCCCCCCTTCAGCCCTTCTAAGAGCACAGAGCCCTGCCCCGGCCCATCTCCTTTTCTCTTCCCTCTGCCTGTGCCTGTGCCCTCAGGCTGCTGTCCAGCAGCCCCCGGTGGGGACCTCCCCTAGGCCCTGCCTCATCCCTGCCGGCCTCCAGCTCGTCCCACCCTCAGGGGACTTGTCCTCTGTGGAGCTGTGGTGTCTGGCTCCCCGCCTACTGCCACCTCTGTGAGGGTCCTTCAGCCTGGCGCAGGCCACGCCGTGGTCAGCCCCTGTGGCCTCCTGCCGTGTGCCTGCGGGGCACTGTAGGTCCACCTCTCGCCTGCAGACCTGCCGTCCCAGGCTTCGCCTGCGGATCCTGCCCCAGTGCAGCTCTTCAGCTCGCCAGGCCTGGGCCGGCCTTGGGAGAGGAGCCTCTGGGAGGCGCAGAGCAGAAGCCCTCCCCACGCCCAGGGCCCCAGAGGGTGTGGCTGCTCAGTGCGCCCCGACGCTGGCTTCCCCCAGCCACACCAGGCTGGAGCACCTCGGCCTGAACCTGTCCTGGCCCGGACTCTGTCCTGGGCCGTCTGTGCCGAGCCCTTGCTCAGTCTTGGCGTCTCGTTGAGTGTCAGCCTGGGGCCCCTGCCTAGCACCTGGTCACAGGGCGGTGCATGTCACCTGGACACCGGGCCCATGGGTGACACCACCACGTGTCGCATCTCTGAGTCTCCCCCAGGACTGCCTGCCCGCCGCCAGGCTCCAGGTTGGACTGACTCCGCGCTGTAGAGGCTGGGGGAAGAGGCTGGGGGGAAGGTGTTGTGAACACAGCTGCTCCGGAGTCTGCTGTGTCCTGGATCCGTGTGTGCCCCACTCTCTCAGAGAAGCCAGGAAGCAACCCTCAGCACACCCTGAACCTGCCTGCGTGGGCCCTGCACTTCCAACAGCAGAGCTGCGGGCCACCGGCTGCCTCTGCCCAGCGCACCCCAGCTGTGGGTTTTGTTACGGCAGCCACCTGGACGAAGACAGCTCGCCACCGTCACATGAGATGCCTCACACGGCTTCCTGGTTGTAAGACGTAACTTCTTGCTTATGTAGCTCATTTTGTTGGGGGGGGGGGGGGGGGGTCCTGAACATGGAACCCAGGGGGCTCCACCACTGTCCTACGTCGCAGCCCTTTTGTTTTTGAGACAAGGTCTTGCTGAGTTCCTGAGGCTGGCCTTGAACTTGTGATCCTCTTGCCCCTGCCTCCCGGGTGCTGGGATGACAGGCGTGTACCCTGCACCCAGCTGGGACGTGTAGCTCTATGAAACGAAGGCACAAGAGCCTCTTCAGTCCCGTGCACCTGGTGAGCAGACCAGGGAGGGAGCGTGACCCCGAGGCCACGCAGACCTCAGGCGTCTTCAGAGAAGCCAGTTGAGAGCTCCCGGTGACCCACGTGCCTCCCTCCCTTCCACTGGGAGACGTCCTCCTCCTGAATCAAATCCCTGCAGCTACAGTTTAATTAAGCTCTGCGCCTCTCCTGCAGCTGGGGCCTGGCTAGGTCTCGCCGTCAGCAGGGTGGGGAGACAACGTGGATGCTGTTCAGAGTCCCCTCCTCGAGGTGACTGTGACCCAGCGCTCACCTTTCATCTCCCCTGGGCTCTGCTCCCTCCCTGAGCAGAGGAGAGGGCGGCCTGGCTCTGAGCAGGTGCAGAGGAAGCTGTCCTCGGGTCCTGCAGCCGTGTCCAAGGCTGTCCAGTGGGGGCTGCCCAAACCAGTGCCTGGCCCGAGCAGAGCCAGGTGCAGCCCGCAGGCCCACGCACATCCAGGTGCCTCTCCAAGGGGCCGTGACGTGCGGAGCCAAGAGGGCGGCTTCCTGGGGAAGAGGGTCTTGGGGAGCCGGCGGCCCAGCCCCACCCCTGCACCCAGCGCCTGTCCTCTGGCTCATGGGTTCATAGGCCCCGTAGGGCCCAGGAAGGTGGCAGGTGCCCAGTTCACAGAACGAGCGCATCTAAGGTCAGGGTCGCGCGCAGGAAGAACAGGCTGGTCCCCGTGGGTGGCCCGGGCGGGGTTCGGCCAGGGTCCCGCTGGTCCCCAGGCCTGGGTGGACCTGGGTCTGGGCACAGGGCGTCCTCCGCCCGCCTTCCTCTGTGTGAGCACCGTGTGTCGGACGAGCTTCGTCTCCAGTGGCTGCTGGGTTTTGCTCCTGGTCTGTTTTCCTTTGTGACCCTGAAGCCCTGGGACTGACGGGCACGGTCCTTCTGCGTAACCAGGGCATTTGTGCTTTGGTGGCAGGAGGTGGCAGGCCGTGCCGGACAGCGCGGACACTCCCCGTGTTCAGGTCCCCCTGCTCTTCTCCCAGAGGGGTCTCGGCTGGAAGCGCCCGTCTTGGTGGTGCTCAGGCACCGTGGACGGCCGCGCATCCTGGGGCCCGTGTGGCCAGCACCTGGCAGCAGCCGGGTCCTCTTCACCCGCTAACGCTTCTGAGAAGAAAAGGAACCCGAGTCTTCAGATGCCGTGGCCTCCCCGACTCCTTCCTGCGCAGGGCTGCGTGCCGTGACCACGTGGGCCCCCAGCAGGAGCGCCTCGGCCGGCTGAGTGTCTGCTGCCCGTGTCCTCCCTGCGTGGCCGTCTGTGCAAATCTGGGGGAAGCAAGCCTGGTCCCAGAGGCCCGGCGTCTTCCTGGGAACTGTCCCTGCTGCCCCCGCCTGTCCTGATCCCGTGGGCCACTGTTCCGTGCTCGGCCACCTGCAGTGGACCGTCCCTCCGTGTCCACCTCCACGTCTGTCTGGGCGTCTCTGCCCTCAGAAGGAGCTCTTGTGGGCGACAGGAAGTGCAGGAGTCCAGCCCGGGTCGGGGAAGAGCCCTGGGGGAACTGCGGGCCTCCGAGTGCCGGGAAGAGCCGGGCTGTGGGGCCCCGCTGTGGTGGCTGCCTGCTCTGGGACGTGACCCAGTCCTGTATCTGCATCACAGCCGCTGGCCCTGGGGACGGGGCCGCTGCCCCTGGCCTGAGCCGGGAGGTGCCCTCCAGCTGGCCTGCCCGCTGGTTCTCGTGGTGTCCCTGGGCCCTTGGGGACTCACTGTGCACAGGGCGGGTTTCAGTGGCCCTTAGTCCTGTGGGCGCTCCTGTCACCTTCCTATTCTGACTCGGACGTGCCTGCCGCGGCTCCACCCCGTCTCAGGGCTCCTTCCCTTCTCCACCTCTCTGGGCAGTCCCGCAGGACACGGGTGGACAGCCCTTATCTGACGTGCCGGGACACAAGTGGCTCTACTTTCTCATTTTGGAATATTTGCCCACACCTGATGGGTGCCTTGGGGTGAGGCTCCGTCTGAACACAGGACTCAGGGGACTCACTCGTGCCCCTTACGCGCCTGGTCCACGTGACCTCGGCCGTTCTGAGCCAGGCTTCCAGTGAGTTCCGTGGGTGGCTTTCCCTCTGGTAGCCGTGGGGGCGCCAGGACTGTGAGATCTCGGAGCATCGTGGATTTTCAGGTTGGAGATGCTGCGTGGGTATTTCAGCTGCCAGTGCCTTGTTTAGATGATTCTAGAATCTGGAGGGACAAGTGATGAGCTGAGCGCAGGAAACCACAGTCAGGTGACAGCCACGAGGAAGAGGAGAAGTCTCTGAGCGGAGTCCACCGGGAATGGGCCCCTCTCCTGGCCCCTCCTCTGACTTCACGTGCAGCTGTGCAGGGAGCTCTGAGCTGGGAAGGGCCCGCAGTCGTGGCCCCTCACTGCAGACCCGGGCTGCATGCGGGTGGACCCGCTGCCCGGCGGCCGGCACAGCCTCCCTTCCTCAGCCAGCGTCTAGTGCTGAGCCTCCAGTTTGCAGCTGGTCCCCCGCCATGCTCCAGAGAGCAGCCACACGCAGGCACACGGGAAGGCTGCCCTCGTGACCGGAGCCAAGCGCTGTCACCCTGGGGCATGGGCGAAGTCTTCCTGCGCCCCACCCCTCATCCTGTGGGCCAACTGCACACCCTCCCAGGTCCCCGGGGGACACGGTGTCTGTCCCGCCCCGTCATGGGACGCGTCTGTGCCTGTGTGCTCTGGGTGAGTGCAGGTAGAATACACCACCCGTGGCTTTAAAAAGGCTGGGACAGGAACAGGCAGAGGGAATCAGTGAAGCGCACAGCACACCTGGGTGGTCCCAGGTGACTCATTTCCTGGCCCTCGCCCAGGACCTTCCAGGTGTGGGCAGCAACTGTCTCCCCATCCACCCCCCCACCCAGGCTCCAGGACCCTGGCAGACTGCACCCCCCCGGGGACCTCAGTGCTCTTCGGGAGGGACTCCTCATTTCCTGTGGGCAGTGAGTTGGCTAATGGGCTGGGGGAGGGAGTGGGCAAGGAGTCCATGTCCCGCTACGGCTGCAGATCATGGCGGGGCGCAGAGGAGGGTGCAGAAAGAGGGACCGACCTCCACAGCCCCGGGGGCGGCTCTGAGGGGAAGGGGAGATGCATGAGAGCGCCCTGGGCACCCCGGAGCCCAGGGAGCGGCTCTCCCCTGCAGGGAGGGGCTGTGGCAGCCAGCTGCAGGGCAGCAGGACACCATCTTCCCCATCTTCCCCTGAGGTGGCGTGCGGGGGTCTGCAGCCTGCTCTCCTGACCACCCCAGCCCCAGGGGGCACAGGCTGGGTGCTGCAGGGGTGGGGGGCTGCAGGGTGTGTAGGAGGGCTGCAAGGGTATGGGGGTGCTGCAGAGGTGTCTGGGGGCTCCAGGATTGTGGGGGAGCCGCAGGGTGGGGGTGTTGGGGGGCACTGTGGGGGGGGGGGGCTGGGCACCGACATGTGGACACCCAGTGCCAGTACAGGCCACCGGGTGAGGAGGGCCAGGAGGCAGTGTGCCCTCGTGTCACCATCCCCCGTGGCACGGTGATCGTCACCATCCCCCAGGACGCGCCACGCCTTGGTGTTCCTGAGGTTCATGTGTCACGTAAGCTGTGCGCCCAGGGACACAGGTCTGCCCTATAGCACCCCATCCCTGCCCTTTCCCACCACAGTCCCTGAGACCCGACCCGTGCCGCTGTGACACGGGGCAGGACGTGGTCTTGCTGTGTCCCTTCCTCGCTCCCTGCGAGCCCCTCCCCCGGTCCCCGCGTGTCCAGGCCTTGGCCCAGCAGATCCTTAGGACGCGGGTGAGGCTGAAGGCCCTGAGCCGGGCAAGGCTTCTCTGCGTGTCCACGATGCTCTGTGGCGATGGACACCTCTCCCCACCGCTGTCCCCGTGGGGGTCCACCACAGCCGCTCTGCCGCCTTCTAACCCAGAAGTCACGCAGCACCCTCGTCCCCGTGCGCACGTGGCGGAGCCCGTGCCGAGGACGGCGCTGAGCCCCCTGGGTGTGTGGGCGTGCACGGCATCTCGCTCTCTTGTCCCCACAGTGCCTGGTCTTCGAAGACGCGCCCAACGGGGTGGAGGCGGCCCTGGCGGCCGGGATGCAGGTGGTGATGGTCCCCGATGAGCGCCTGAGCCGCGACCTGACGAGCAAGGCCACCCTGGTGCTGCGTTCCCTGCAGGACCTGCAGCCCCAGCTCTTCGGCTTGCCCGCCTACGACTGAGGGCCACCGCGGCCCTCCACGCCGCCCGCCTGGGCCTCCTGGGCCCCGCCCACGTTCAGGGTCCACCTGCTGAGGGGAGGGTCGCAGGGAGTCGGCAGCCGCAGGTGCACCCACCCAGGCCAGGTGCAGCCGCGTCACCTCCGTCCCTACTGGGGAGCGGCCTGTGCCCTGAGCTGCCGTGGCCCACTTTTGCTCCAGGGTTGATGGCCGTCCACTGGACACTTGAGGGAGGACAGAGACCGTGCAGAGCAAGGTCCAGCGTGCAGCCCATGCCGCCGGCACACGTGTGTCGTGTGTGGTCTGCGTGCGTGCCCCCTGCCCTCCAGCAGAGATCACACGTGGCCCTTCCCTTGTTCTAGTACTCTCAACATTGGCAGCTACACCATGTCAGCCCCGTGTGCAGGCGTGTATGCATTCATGTGTGTGTGTGTGCGTGTGTGTGTGCAGGCGTGTATGCATTCATGTGTGTGTGTGTGTGTGCAGGCGTGTCCGCACTCCCTCTGCTGCGCTGCTTCACACCCTGGGCCTGCACCCACTCCCTCTGCTCCGCAGCCTGAGAGGAGGGCCGGCCTCCAGCCTGAGGAGCAGCCCTCCCCGCCCCCTGCTCCTCACAGTACCTCCCTGCACAGCCGCACCCCGACTCCCAGGAGGCCCCCCACCCCGACTCCCAGGAGCCGCCCCAACTCCCAGGAGCCGCCCCAGCAGGGTCCCTGTGGCCTGGACGTGGCCCATCTCCATGTTGAGGAGAGTTTCCCACCTCACAAGCCCACTCCTGTCCCTCGGGGACGCTGGCCTTCCGGTGCTTGGTGGAAACGGTGAGGTTAGGGTAGGACCCGGGAGGCCTGAGCGCCACGGAACTCTTGGGGTGCTGTCGGCCTCCCCACACTGGTGGGCTCGCTCTGCCTGGCGAGGGCTGTCTCCTGTCAGAGAAACGGTCTGATCTGCACGCCTGTCTGTCCGGGTGGCTCTGTGCCCCACTGTTGTTGAGCTGACTGTCACCTCCGTGCCTGGTGGAGAGAAGGCAGAGGGGCGGGTGTTTGGGGGGACGGTCCTTCTCCGGGCACCCCGCCTGGCTCTCAGGGCACGCCTGCCCCCAGAAGCCTCCTGAGCCGCCACGGCAGCGCCTTCCAGTGTCCTCGCAGGCTGCTGGGGTGTAATAAAGTCCTAGTACCCGTCCACGTGGTGCTCGTGAGTCCTGATTTCACCCTTTACACCATGTCCTCCAAAACCCGGCCCCGGGCCCCGAGTCCCTCCGCCTTCTGTCCTTTAGCCACAGTGGGCTCAGCTGGCCAAGGGCACCGACGTGGGAAGTGCGCCACGTGCCCCCGACACAGGCTCTCCATGTGAGTGCCACTGTCGACGCTGTGCCCTTGGGGATGTTTCTAATCATTGGGCCGTTGTCCCCGGGAAAGAGCAGGGTCTCGACCCGCGAGTCCCAATCCTCACTCCACGACGGTCCTAACCAGATGACGGGCACATTACAGCAGGTAACAGACACCTTAGCGCTCCCGTGTGATGCGTGTGTTGGACTCACAGTCATCACATCCTCATCGCACAGCACACACCTGCGCACACGTTTCAGGTCTTAGAGACTCACCTACCGAGTTCTGTCTACCTGGGAATTTCCGTAGGCGCCCACAACTGGCTCAGCGGGGCAATCGGGGTGACGTCTGTTTAAATGAAGCAGGTCACCTGGCTGTTTCCCTCGGGTCACTTCCATCTGACCACGGCTGGGGCAGAGCGTGGTGCTTTTGTAGAGGGGAGCCCTGGCCCTCGACGCCTGGCCAGCACTCACGCTGCTCTTCCCTGCCACCTCGACCTCGGGGTGTTATTCCAGTGACTCCTTGTTCCTGGGGGTGGGAGATGGACGCTCGCTGCAGGAGGACACCTGCCCGGAAGGCTTCAAGAGCTTAACCGTCACCTTGCCGTCGGCTCCATGGCAGAGTGTGCTGTTGGGGCCGCAGAGAGTTGAGAGGTGCCCGGGCCTGTGCTGACCAGCAGCTCACGTTTGCTCGAGCACCATGAATCCCTAGGTGACTCGGTGGCAGTGCCCGGGAGGTGGCATCGTCAGCCTCCTCCATCCCACCTCACGGAGCACGCCCAGCCCCGCTCAGAACTGCTGATCGCCCCTGGTCACAGGCTTCTCCCACTCAACAGCCTCTGGCACAGGTGGAGGGATTCTTCTAGAAGGAGGGAGCGGGAAGGTCCCTGTCCACAGCAGAGGAGCGCGTGTCCCGGGGGCAGGCGTGGTGGTGGCCCCTTCCCCCCCCCCTCCCCCTCCCCCTTCCTCCTCCCCTCCCCCTCCCCCTTCCCCCTCCTCCTCCCACTTCCTCCCACCGTGGGGTGCTGCCCCACCACAGGCCAAACAGGCCAGGCGGCTGGAGTGGGGCCCCCAACCACGAGACAGGATGAGCCCTTCCTCCCTGTGTGTCTGTCCTTCCTCCCTGTGTGTCTGTCCTTCCTCCCTGGGTGTCTGTCGTTAAGGTCGCCCTTGGCAGCGCAGACCTGGCTTCCACAGAGGGGGACGGACTGCGTTAGTTCACCCCACGGAGGGTCCCGAGGTGTGGGTTGAAGGTTCTCAGGTTACGGGATTCTTGTGAGGACTTTGTCGATGGAGGGGCTCACGCGTCCTAAAGCAGGTCTTCAGGACACCTCGGGGGGCATCCCATGAGTCTGTGGAGTGGACAACGTTGTCTTGTCCACCTGAGCCCAGAATCTTCACCTCCTTCATCAGCCACGGGGGGTTCACGAGTTGCACCTGTTATCGAAATTGAATTCCATCAGGAAACACTGCTGGCCTGTGTGGGCAGGCCACTCGGACACACGGACGAGTCGCACACCTTAGGGGACTTGTGCAGCCAGGTGCAGAGTGCCCGGGTTGGCACTCGGGTTTGAAGGGGAGCCCCCACGTGCATTTGAGCTTGGTCCCCACTGGGGTGGCATTAGGGGGTGCCTTTGGGGAAGTGACCCGGGGGTCAGGCCCTGTTCCCAGGAAGCTGAGGGAACTAGTGTGGGTGTCCCCCTGTCCTTTCTGATGTGAGGTCCTAGGATTCAGATCAGGGCCCTTGGCAAACACACAGACTAGACGTTCGCTTCCTACTTAACGGCTGTGCCATGGAGCTCTGAGTTCATGTGTCATGCAGAGAATCACTTAGCCACGTCCACTCGAGGAAGACAGGATCTATTTCATATTCGTGTCTTAGTAAATTCACACCTAAGCAAACACATACATATTTAACTAACGTGACGATAATAGACATTTCTTCACGAACCAATAGTAACTACAGAACTTGATGGTAAAATACACATTTCATTTAAAACTCAGAAGCAAACTGGGCTCGGTACTGCACATCTGTGATTTTGGCTACTTGGGACGCTGAGGCAGGAGGATCATGAGTTTGAGGCCAGCCTGCGCGACTTAGCAAGACCCTGTCTCAAAAAAATAATTGTTTTGAAAAAGTTGGAAACAGGCCAGGCACGGAGATATTTGCCTGTCATCCCAGGGTCTCAGGAGGCCGAGGCAGGAGGATCGCGAGTTCAAAGCCAGCCTCCGCCAAAGCGAGGCCCTAAGCAACTCAGGGAGACCCTGTCTCTAAATAAAATACAAAATAGGGCTGGGGACGCGGCTCAGTTGTCGAGTGCCCCTGAGTTCAGTCCCTGGTACCAAAAGAACAAAAGCTGGAAACAACGAGTATTAGTCTGCTCTGACTGCCACGGCACGATCCCACAGTCGGGGGCTTAAACAACAGACGTGGATTGTCCCCCAGTCCTGGAGGCCGCGAGCCCAAGGTCCAGGCTGGGCAGGGCCGGCTCCTCCCGAGGCCTCTCTCCTGGACTTCCAGACGCCGTCTTCTCCCCGTGTCCTCCCGGGGCCGTCCCTCTGTGAGCGTCTGTCCTCATGGCCTCCTCTACAAGGACCCCAGTCCTGCTGGGTCAGGGCCACCCTGGGACCTCAGTGCACCCCATCCCCTCTGCAAAGGTCCTGGGTCCACACAATCCCGTGGCGGCTTAGGGCCTTCAGGTATGTGGAACGCTGAGCCCATACCGCCAACGGAAGGGGTGCCACCATCAGGCCCTGGATCCTTCCTGAGCTCCGGTGGGTGACGGCTGCCGTCTCACGGGTACGGGTCTCGTGCCGACAGACGGGCCGTGCTCTGCTTGGAAATGTCTTCATTCACTGCTCTTTAAAAATACCTTTTTTTCTGGAAACCGGGTTCTCGCTCGAAAGCTGCCTTCTCCCACCTTCTGAGGATTCCGCTTCCCTGTCTGACCCTCGAGGGGGGGGTTTCTGTTGGAATCGAGCCCTGGTCCCGCCCTCCCACCTTGGAGGACAGTGGCTCTGCCCACCGCTGGCAGCTGAGACTTTACGACGGCCCTTGGCTCCGCCGAGGCCTGGCCGGCTTTACTAGCCTCGCTCTGACTTTGTAGGTCTTCATGAGCCTGAGGTTGGTGGTATGAGTGACCAAACCCGTCAGCATTGATTATCTGTCCCCATGCTCCCAGCCAGGCCCACCCCTAAGGTCAATCCCACGCAACGAAACACAACAGAAAAGTGAGTTCTGTGTCGTGAAGTCCCCCAGGCTGGGACCTTTTGTTATAGCTGCCAAGAAAACTCTGGGTTGTGCATCGGGAGTGCTTTTTGATGGATGATCTTGACATTCAGACTCCATCTCTGATCCAAAGTGTCTTCCTGAAGTATCTATCATCTCTTGTCCGTCTTTGACTACGGGGACAAGGGACGTGGGATGATGATTCTTGTTGTGTGAGATTTAGATTTGTCTGACTCAGTGTACGGTCCCACTGGGTGCCGCGCAGGACTCCTCGTGTGGAGAGGAGATAGGGGACACGGGTGGTGACTTGCACCCTCCGGGGCCGAGAGAGAACAAGTACGTGTGGTTCAAGCCACTGAGTCTGGGGAGCTCCATCATGACGGCCCTGCACACCAATCTGAGGGCTTTCTGACGACATGCATGAAACCGCATTTGGAAATCCTTATCCAGTGGGGAGTTTACAAACAAACAGGGTAGCCAGGCTCGGAGGCGCACGCCTGTCATCCCAGCGGCTCGGGAGGCTGAGGCAGGAGGATCCCGAGCTCAAAGCCAGCCTCAGCCACAGCGAGGCCCGAAGCACCTCCGTGAGACCCTGTCTCTAAATAAATACAAAATAGGGCTGGGGACGGGGCTCAGGGGTCGAGGGCCCCCGAGTTCAATCCCTGGTACCAACAAACCAACAAACAGGGTAGACTCTCAGCAGCCAGGGGAAGCTGTGTCTAAAAGAGTCACCACACACGCGAAGGACGCCTGAGTCTACACCTGTGAAATGACAACACAAAGAAACGTCACCCACCGTGGCAGTCGTAGATGAGAGTGTGACCCGTTCAGACAATAAAACAAACGCACAGGTGCAGCTGAGGGTGAGGTGAGCCCAGGGAGGGCCCTCCGCAGTTCCATGTCCAAGTTACAGTTGGGTCAGCGCCTGCCCAGGCCGACCGCAGGGCAGCACCCCAACTCACCCCGTAGAAAGGACCGCAGGATGGTCAGGCAGGCCGGGAACGCTGCATTCTGGAGGCACGTGTGCTATCTCAAAGTAAGAACATTAAGACATCTTACTCACCTTCAAGCCCATCTTTACCCCGTGGAAAGTTCTAGAATCTTTATTTTATTTTTTTCTTTTGGAGGCAGGTACCTGGGATTGAACTCAGGGGCACTTGACCCCTGAGCCCCGTCCCCAGCCCTATTTTGCATTTTATTTAGAGACAGGGTCTCCCTGAGTGGCTTAGGGCCTCTCTGAGGCTGGCTTTGAACTCACGATCCTCCTGCCTCAGCCTCCCCAGCCGCTGGGATGAGAGGCGTGCGCCACCAGACCTGCTCTTTTAGTTTTCAGTGTGGGAAAAATCAGTGTTGATTCGGCAGCTCCTGTGCCAGGGGTGGGCAGTTTTCAACTGTGAGACATGTGAAGGGCGACACATCCCGTGATGCAAGTAGTCTCTGTATGATGCATGAGGAAAAGGAATAGTGTCGTCCTCAAAGCAACTGTCCCTGATCATCAAGAATATGAATGACCATGACGGCTGGGAGGGTGGGGTGAGAAGACCCACTGACACATTGTGGGTGGCAGAGCCACTGCAGAGAGCAGTACGAGATTCCCCCCAAAGAAACTAGCATGGAACCCGCCTGCG